TATCTATTTCACTTGTTTTTAAAATTTTCGGGCAAAAATGTGTAGTCTGATAATAAATGATGTGAGGAAAAGATTTTTGCTGTCAGTATGAACGTACTTATCTCTAAAAATATGTACTAAGCCGTAGTTAACTTTTGTTTTTGTTATGGACGCCATATTGAATTTTTGCCTCATTAGAAGAAAAGGGAAATTCTCTTTATGATGATGTATAATATATGGGGTTTTCATAAATAAATAATCAAGATATTGAATATAATTATAATTTTAATAAAAGAAATCAAGAAGCCTACACATTTTTGATCTAAAGTTTTGAAAAACAAGTGAAATACGACTAAAAAAAAGAAATAACATAAAATCGGTTTCCTTGGAATATCTTCGGTAGTATTCAGAATTTTCTAAATTTAAAAACGAATCCATATTCGGCATAAAATTCAGCACATTTTTGCTAATTTAGCCATTTCTGTATCTCTTACAATAAGACAGATACCAGTATTGGACAATGACAAAATTGTAACATTGTATTTTGTTTATTAGCATCTGTAATAATCAGCCTATGTATTACTTTTTAATAACAAATATTTTATCAAAATGAAAATTTGTGACATTGAGTCTGGGTCTTTCAACTAAAACAATCGGGCTTAGATCTGGTGGAAAAACTGGTCGGCTCCGGTCCCCCCTCTTGTAACTTGGAAAATGCATGATCGCCAGTGATTATGTACAAAAAATGACTCCTATCTACCGTATGGGGTTCTCCAAATGCGTCTTGGAGCATGATCACTTTTCAACAATTCATTTTAAATATATATATATATCGTACATGTACACTGATGAACAATATTCAAAAATCACATAAGCTTTGTCTTAGCCTATATACAAAAGCATAACAGTAGTTAAATATAAGGAACACAATGTAAAACTTCGAACTCGAGCACGACATTCCGTTTAGAATTACGGACCTAGTCGCCCGGTTTTTAGGACTAATCGTCAAATTGCACCCAGCCGTCATTTTCTATCAGGGGCGTCCCCTGTTCCAAAAAAAAGTGCCTACGCGGCACGTGCATGGGAAACCTTAACGCACAGAGGTTATACTTAATATTTTCGTGAACTTAGTAGAGACTTTAGAGCAAATATCGATATAAAAAACGTAGTGGCCCACGGTTTGAACCGTGCGGTCAATAATTTCAACTAATATGTACACGATCAGGAATATCTAGTCATTGCAACTTTCAAGAAGTATCGCATGTTTTGGAAAGCTAAGCTAAAAAGTGCCTCCTCTGCCTCACTTTGAATAATAATCGTAATTATATTTTATCTTCCTCTTTATTAGATACTTTGAAAATTGTTTTACTTGTTAGTGAATTCTCGATAAAAGTGTACCAATTTTTTTCAAAAAAATTCGAAAACGCCTGAGAAATGTGCAATATAGAAGTGGTAATCACTCTAACTGCCCAAAGCGGTAACTTTACCTGCTAATATACCGGGTGTTTTCTAAGTATATGTCTTATTTTAAGGAAGTTGTTCTTTGGGTTATTTAGAAAAAATTAGAAAAAATATATATGACCCAAGAGCCTAGCGTCCTGGTTTTCAACATACAGGGTGATGAAATTTAGAAAAAATATTACATTTACTTTATTACATAATAAAACTTACTGAATTGGTATAAAATCTGTCAACCACTTTCGACGCCACTGAGTATCTTGAAATTAAATAAATGTATTTGATTCCTAATGTTATTTATAATTAAAAAAGTGCATTATTAGAAGTACGAGCCGTTTTGAGATTATTTTTTTAAATTTACAGGGTGAGTCATTAATAATGGTACACAGCTTAATGGCAAGTTAATGTCAAAATATAGTGATTGAGCCAAACATGCCTTAATCAATTATTACTCCTTTTCGTTCTAAAGGGTGTTAAAGTTGAAAAAATATCTTATCTATATTTTAAGTGTTTAGTTTAAGTGTGTTTATGTATAGACCGATTGTTTTGAAAATTTGTAGTTTTACTTTTTTTGAGGAGGCAAATACGAATATGCAAACAGTGTTGGGGTCACATCTAGAGGGCGCTAGTTATACAGTCCTATCAATGTAAAAATCTGTCTAACTTTTTATATTTTACAATTTTGAATTTTTTTACTACAAATTATTGAACTACGTTCAATTCTAAATAAAAAAGGTGTACTAGTTACAAATCGATAAACTAAACCGTTTTCGAGATACAGACGTTTTAAGTTTTTGAGATTCGGCGGGAATTAAATTAGAAAATTGGCAGGTCTTAAAAAGGTTTTATGCACATCTTAACAAATTATTAACTACCAGTAACTTCAATGCACTTTCTTAGCCTTTTATTAAGATATTCTCTTCTCTAAAAAATAACGACAAGAAAAACCTACTTCTTAATCAAATTGAGTAGAAAACAATATGGTATTGTAGTGACAACTGTCAATTTATTTTGTCCATGCGTACTACTTTGGAAAAAAAAAAATAATAAAATTCAGTTGTTTCCGCAGCTGGCTATCATTTTTCAGAATAAAGCTAGGTACTGAAAGTAGGGTTCATCTTTTTTGCTGTTTGTCTAGCAATATTTCTAATGAAACTATAGACTTCCTTACACAGCTGAACGCAGAAAAAAATATATTCCAGAATTGATTAAAAAAATATATAGTGTGCCATTTGAACAAAAACAGTTGACTATAGCAATTTTGACATATGTTACCATGGAGACGATCTAATAATGTCATTTGATAGAGTTTGAGCGGCGATTTAAAAATATATACGGTTTGTTATAACTATTTGTTAAAATAAAAGAGATACTTAATTATAAACAAAAACATTCTATAATTTTCAGCGCTATAAAATTCACCATTCCCATAGTTTTAACGATGTTGAAGTTATTTAAGATAAAGACAATCGACTATTTTCAGTATTTTCAAGAATATTCAGTAATAGAATTTTTAATATACCATGAATTTGTACAACTTTATTGATTTAAATAATTTTGTATCTATCTCTAAAAATGAAAAAGTAAGCCAAGTACAGAGAAAGAAAATAACAATTCTGTATATTTCGATTTCGTAGCTAAATCTACATATGAAATCGAAGTCGATTTTATTCTGATTTTAAAGTAGAAATTCCGAATTTAAAGCCGGAATTCCGAATTTAAAATCAGAATTCCGTATTCAGGATCAAAACTCTGACTTTAATGTCGGAATTCTGAGTTCAAAATCAGAATTTCTGAGTTCAAATTATGAATTCCAAGTTTAAAGAAGAAGAATTCCGAGTTTAAAGTACAAATTCAGAATTAGAATTGGAAATCCGAGTTTAAAGACGTAGGTAATTCCAAATTTGAAGTAAAAAATCCGAGTTTCAAGTTTTCAGAAGAAATTCAAAGTTTAAAGTCGGAATTGCGACTTTATAGTACGAAGTCTAAGTTTAGAGAAAGAATTCCGAGTTTAAAGTACGAATTTCCAGTTTAGCGATGAAACTTCGAGTTTAAAGTCGAAAATCCGAGTTTAAAGAAGTAATTCCAAATTTAAAGACAATAATTAAGTTTCAAGTATTAATTCCAAGTTTTCAGAGGGAATTTCCAGTTCAAAGTCGGAATAAAGTATGAATTCCCAGTTTAGAGAAGAAATTCCCTGTTTAAAATTGAGGTCCGAATTAAAGTCAGAATTCTAAGTCGAAATTGCAAATTTAAATTAAAAATACCAGGTTTAAAGTCGGAATTGCGAGTTTAAAGTATAAATTCCAAGTTTAGAGAAGGAATTCCAAATTCCAAAGTGGAAATTTAGAGTTTAAAATCGGAATATTGAGTTCAAATTCCTAGTGTAAAGTATAAATTCGAGGTTCACGGAAAGATCTCCGAATTCAAAGTCGAAATTCCGTGTCTAAAGTATGAATTCCACGTTTACAGAAGGAATTCCGAGTTCAAAGTTGAAATTAGGAGTTTAAAGTATGAATTCCAAATTTAGAGAAGGAAGTTTAAAGTCGGAATTGCAAATTTAAAGTCGAAATTCCAAGTTAAAAGTCAAAATGTCGAGCTTAATATTCTGACTTTAAACTAGGAATTCTGATTTTGAACTTAGAATTCTAAGTTCAAAATTTAAATTTTGACTTTAAAATCATAATTATGATTTCAATGTCGGAATTCCAATTCTAAAGTGTCAATTCTCGGTTTACAGAAGCAATTCAAGTTCAAAGTCGAATGCTCGACTTTAAAGTATCACTTCCACGTTTAGAGGAGTTTCAAATTTAAGGTCGGAAATCCGAATTTAACGTTAAAATTCTAAATTTAAAGTCAGTTCCAAGTTTAAAGTCGAAATTCCTAGTCTAATGTTTTAATTTTAACATTAAAGTCGGAATTCCGTGTTTCAAGTCGAAATTCCGTGTTAAAAGCAAAAATTCTGACTGTGTAGTGAGAATTCCGAGTTAAAATAGGAATTTTCAATTTGACGTATGAATTCCAAGTAAAGCCAGAATTCCGAGTTTTTTTAATTATATAAATTAGGATGGCGTTTGAACGTCTTTGTACTGCAATGTGTTTAAAGTGGTATTTCCGACAAATTTCTGTACATTTTATTTGTGAAATGAATAGTTTTAAGTTATTTTGGATTTATTCAGCTGTGTAATTTTTTTTCTTCCAATTTTCAAAATTCTCAGTGGCGTTGAAATTTTGGAATCCTTAACGGTTTAAACGGTTTAATATATTTTTTAATTAGCTGAATTATTAGCCTTGTATCTCGAAAACCAGCGCCTTTAGATCGTTGTTTTATAAAGACGTTTCGGTCTAAGATAACCCAGAAAGCAGCCCATGTGATATGGATATAAGGAACGCGTTGTATATCCTGATGTGCTTTTTTAATATCCCACTTCTGATTTACCGAAAATTATTCCTAAGTTTTCAGTAGATATTCTAGCAAAGCAAGATGTACATTCAAAGCAAGACAGAGAAGGGACTTCCTGAACATCAACAAGGAACCTCGAGGATAACATGTCGGGCGCGTTTCGAGGAATATTACGCGATGGAACTCCCGGACATCGTAGTGATGCACTTCTTCTCGCAGGAATCGGTGTTCTCGGAGTTCGACCTGACGGCCTTGGGGGTGCCGGGGGTGTTCTGTTCGCACGTCTCCGTGTTGTTGTTCGTCGAGGCCCTCCTGGCTACCTCCCTCGTCGCCGTCCGCACGTCGAATACGCTGCACTCGCTCTCCAGGTCGCTGCTTTCTAGCTGAAGCACGTTCAACTGGAAACGAATGTATTAAATCCTCTAAAAAAACAATCGAGTTTCTTTCTGCCGTGTGCAACCGGTTGAAGTGGGAAGTACTTTAATTCTCATACATACTTGTCTGGTGTTTAGAAAAAGTTCGCTGGAGTCCGAGCCGCAGCTGGAGCTCTCGCTCAGCTCCGTGGTGAACTTCCTCTGGGCCCTGGGGCTAGGCGGCGGCCTTCTGGTGCATACTTGCGCTTGGATATGCTCGCAGACCCTTCTGAATCTCCTGATATTCCCTAGAATATGGAAAAAACGAAGTTCAGTATGCGAGTATTCCTCAGGGTTCCCGTTCGAGGCCCCTACCTGACAGTAACGTGAAGGTTATGGCGTAGAGATGTTCTTTGGTGTTGTCTACCGTCTGCTTGGTTATAGTCGAGATGTCTACTTGGAATCTGACGTGTCTCTGGAACATAGCTGGCCCTGTGGTGCCCCTTTTGTATTCTACCCTAAACGACATTGGACTGGAGACTGAATGGCTTAGTTCTGCTATCTGAAAATCGGGACTTTCAGCATCGAGGTTCAAAATTTCCTGACGAATTGGTCGTTGGAAAAAACTTTCGTTTTCTTAAAAAGAATTGGAAAAAATAGGAGGTATATCGGGGTCCGAGGGATATGCTTTTCTTATGGGACTAAAACCCGCTACCAACTTGAAAAAATTAAATTATATTAAAATTATTTGCGATAAACATTATTTATATAGCAAAGAAATCTACTCAATAGGCACATAATATACATATTGAAAATTACCAACATAAAAATATCATATTTAAGTAGTTTTAAATTATATTTAATGAACGCATAAGCACTATGTAGATGTGGCAACGGCGCTAATAATCGAGTGCAGTTGTACACACTGCGAACCTACAGACCTGGGACATCGGAGATATTGCGCGTCTAATTCGGGTAAAGATGCGTACGCATTCAAAAATGTATTGTGTGTAAACTATGTAAAATAAAATTATTATATATAGCAAATATATCGTATTATCCTTTATTTAAAATCCGTTAATCATGTGAACTGGTAAAACAACGATAACATAATTATGTTAATTTAGTTCTAAAGAAATGAAATGACACTCGCGCCCATCTCTCGTCCAAGTCAAAGAAAATGTGGGATGCAATTTTGAAGGTTCTGTGATAGAAATTACATTATTACTCACTGTTCGTGTTTTTCATCTCTATTTTAATAATGTTACAAAAGTTTTGCAACTAGAACTAATTTTTTAGATATAAAGTTTGCTGAGAAATATGTATGTTCCTTTGTTATTCTGTATAAATGCTTTTATCTCAAGTATTACTAATTATATTAATCAAGTAAAGAAAATTTTATGTAACCCTAAATACTGCTGGGTACGGATTGCGATGTTTTTATAAACCATTAAATATATTAAAAGGATTTATCGACTGTATTTTTTATTCCAATAAATATATCACAGCTTCCTAGCCTTTTTTAATTAATTTTTAATTTAGAAAAAATGTATGTTTCAAATCAATTTCGTTTTTATCAAGTCTTTCAAATGTAGGTATTCCCTCCTTGCTGTCAGATGATTGCGACGTTGCCACATTAATCCTCAAGTCAGACAGAAATGCAATTGTTTGTTTCTGTTTCTAATTAATACAGCTGTACTATGTTCAAAACTTACATTAGTTTTATATAAAAAATAAAGATAATACTGTGTACTATCTATGGAAAAGTTTTGTTTCACAATTTCTACATTTTTTTCTGTTATGGGCAAAAAAGAGCCGCACCCAATATACCTCCTTAAAATCTAGGTTACAAAGGGTTCTAGCCACTATATTTGCAAATATATATAATAATATATACATACGAGTATACATATACACATAAATTTTCGAAAAACTCACCGATAGAAAGGCGTGTATCAAGTCGGCTTTGACCGTGGCTAGGGGTTTGCCTTTCACCAAGATCGTGAAAGTTTCGTCCTTCTCCGTGGTCATCAGCGATCCGAACCAGGATTTTTTCGTCAGCTCGGGCGAGGACTCGGGCGTCAGGTGGACTTCTTCAGAGGACGCTAGAAGATATTCAGCAACAGGTGGTGTATGGACGAGGTATTGACAAAATCAGAAAAAAGCCCCGACCTACCTTGCAGTTTCCTCCTATGGAATCTGGGGGAACCTAAAAAACTATTCTTGATCGTGGTGAGTCTGGACCGCCAGTGGTGGCTCGTTGCGCTCGAGTGCGGCGATCCCGGCGGCGTCATTGGCGTCAGGATGGTAGGACCTAAAACGATATTGCCTAAGTTTAACTACGTGATTGAACACCTGGTTCTTGTTCGTCTAACTGACCTGTGACTAGGCTTGTGGTGTCGTTCTCTGGTGACGTGAGAGACATAACGGACGTCACTGTCGTTCCCCCGCTGCTGTTCGCCCGGTGGTGGGTGGGGGTAGATGGGGGCGGAGTCACGGTCACGTGAGTGTTGGAAGTCACGTGGGTAGAGCTGCGGTGGGCGTGATGGGACGGCGTTCTCTGTCCCACTGGCGAAGACATCCCGGCTAAATGCATTGGTGATGTAAAAATTTGTTTAGATGTAACAATCAGTTTTTTTCCTTGTCTGGATTAGGTCAGGAAATATTAAAAAAAGAGCGGGGCGTATGTCTCGACTTCATTTTAGTGTATTTTAAATTTGAGTCAAGTGTACGGCGGTATGAAATATTAACTTACAGTGGGTGTTGGTGGGGGTTACGGTACTGTTGAACAGAACTGGACTGGATGCTCCTGAAGATCTCGTTGGTGAATGAATACTAAGGCTGCTGTGGGTACTTCCTGTAGAAGGGCTTCTCCTAGCGTGGTGTCTTCTAAAAAAAAGTTTCAGTAATTCGTTTAGTTCTTACTACCATTTTTATTTGTTTTGCAGTGGTTGGTATAAAATTTAAAATATTAATAAAACAATTGAAAATTAATTGGAAGGATGAACTTACTATTTTTTAAATTGTACATTTGTAAAGTATTAAGTTAATTCAAATCATTTTCCCATATACACCAATGTCTGGGTAATCTAAAAATCAACTTAAAATCTATTAATTAACATCTAATAGGAAACAACTACTCTGTGGACTAAAGCGACGACCAGTATCGAATTATACCCGCGCTATCTAATAAACATGTTATACAGGGTGTCTCTAAAGGGCGTGTACAACGCTCCACCAGGTATAGCACGACTCAAAATAAGTCGATATAACTGAACTAGTCCAAAAATTGATAACAACGCAGCTACAGGATGTCAAAGCTAAAAAAATAAACAACATTTTTTTAAATATCTTTCGACTACTAATTTTGTGAAATTTCGTATCCGGGGTTTTTTGGGGTGAGAAATTCGAATTTATCGACAATTTTATTGTATCTTCTAGAGGGCGCCACAAGCGACCATTAGGACGCATTTAAACTGCTAAAACTTTTTTGTGCCACGGTGTATTTCACTTTGGGTTGGAAAAATCTTTTTTTTCTGCTTAAAAATATATGGTATAATGTATAGGTATCTTGCTAATATCTCTAAATCCAACCGTTTTCAACAAAAAGGCATTTAAATTTGTAAATGTATATAAAAAAGTTATTTTCGACTAAATAAATAAAAATCTTAACATATTTAAATAATTACCTACACAATGTAAACTTTCAAAGAAATCTGATGTCTGCATTTTCAAGGGAATTTTTTAAAACTGGTTTGATATCTGAGTATTTACAGACATTAAATTATATATAAAATTCAAGGCTACAAAAAAGTGAAATTTTGAAATGACAAAGCCTAAATTGCGATAATATGTTTAGATTAATATACATTTTTTAATTACACATTTTCAATATTCCATTTCTGATTTACTGCAAAATTATACTAATCGATTAAATTCTGTGCTAATCGGTGTAGTTGTTTCCTACAATATCATTAGTTAATCATTTGAAGAATTTATTATAGTTTTATTGCTACTGTTTATGGATAGAAAACATTTTATTTTTTAAATTCCGCACAAGATCAATGGAAAATGGGTCCCAGTCGATTTTGCTGAAACTGCAGTATGTTATAGTTTTTGACTTTCTGATCAAATGGGCCTAAAGTGATCCTATGAATAGTTTCAGAGATAAAGTGGGGGAAAGTATGTGATTTTGGCTGTAGGCCTGAGTAAACTTCACGAAGTTTCAAGTTGATGGATTCAAAAACTGAGGCATATAATGATTTTTGGCCAGTAGATTCAATGTTTTTGGGATCGCTGAACCTGAATTCGGAGATAGCTTAGTTATCTAAGGTCACCTAGAAGTCAGGTAAAGGTCGTTTTAAGTCAAACTGAAGAAAAGATTTGTATTGAATTTTGACCAGTGAGTGTAGGTTTTTGAGCTCGCAGAATCTGCATCTGGAGATAGAGTAACCCTAAAGGTCACCTTCAAGTCAATTCAAGGTCATTTCAAGATCGAACTAAAGAAAAGGCTTGTATTGAATTTCAACCAGTGCGTATATGGGGGGGGGACTGAATCCGGATATAGCTTAGCACTATAAGGTCACGCTTAGGACAAGTCAAGATCATTTCAAGGTCAAAGTAAAGAAAAGGCCTTTCACAATGTTACCTATAAGTATGTATGCTTTTGAGGTCGCTGAACCTGAATTCGGGGAAAGCTTAGCCCTATAAGGTCACCTGGAAATCAAGAAATCAAATCAAGGCTACCACGAGGAGGTTGAACGATTGGATTTAGCACATCATTTGGCCTTGAAAAGAGCCGATTGTTTATATTTCCAGGTTAATCTAATTTATTCAGGCCTACAGACAAAATCACTTACTTCCCTCCCTCTTTATCTATGAAACTATTCATGTGATTACTTTGGGCCCATGACAACTTTTGAACAGAAAGTCAAAAATTATAACATACTCCAATTTCAGCAAAATCGACTGGGACCCATTTTCCATCGATTTTGTGCGAGATTCTTTCAGTACTATATTTTTATTATCATGTAACATATAATATATTTTTTAAATGTAAACTACTATAAAAAATATTTGCTACTATAAAAGCTGTACCTCGTTTTCACTCATTTTGAATTTTATCACATACTATTTCCAAACTGCAAAATTTTAAAAAACATATCTGTTTGTTACACACTGCTGGTGATTTATGGAAAGTTTCTGCAGACCGAAAACGATGCGCGAATTATGATTACCGCTCATCTGAATTTGTTGGTTTACATATGCTGTGTTAATAGTTTGTCGCTGACGTTGATTTTCATCATACCGACATGTTGGTGTCAAAAAGCGTATATGCCTTCATCAGACGAGAATTTTAAACCTGATTTGAATTAGCTTAATATCTATAATAAAAATAGCTACTAGCAATGGAATTTTCATTGACCCCTATATTTTGGAGTGCAGTTTATTTTGCGAAATAAACCGCGTTACAAAATTTAGGATTTTAACAAAATAATTTCAAATTAACTAACTTGACGTAGTTACTAGTAATGAAGACTTTGGGTACTATATTTCTGATCTATCTTGTGGCATAAACTAGATTACAAGATTTAGGATATTGAAAAAAGAATTTAAAATGAACTAATGTATCTGCATATAGTTATCAATATGATTCCTAAATATCGAAGAGTAGTTTAACTTAAGGAATAAACTACGCCACAAAATTTAGGATAATATCAAAATCATTAAAAACAGACGAACTGTGTGCATTTCATTCATAATCTTATTTATATATTCATATTTAAAAAGGCAATTAAACTTTATTATTTATTTATATTATTATTTATACGGATTGTAAGGATTTTTTGGGAATGACACCATTCAGTAACTTACGCTGGGGCCTTAACAAAGTCTCGAAAATGAACCGTGTGAATATAATTACTTGTAATGTGATCTCCTAGGTGTGAGAGGTGAACCTTCGCTGATCTGGCCAAACTGCAGCGTATTTTGGCCGTTCACTCTGCAGGTGTCGATCCTCTTCTTGGGCGGGTCTTGGTTGTCCGAGTTTCTGATTCTCAGCATGGAGTCGCCCTCATCCTCGCAGGCTGGCCTCCTCCTCTTCCGCTCCAAAAGTAAAAAATAGATCACTTTTTCGGTGTTATGGCTGGAAAAGACCAAAATGGGATGACAGAAAAGTCAAAAAAAGTTCAATTATTTCTAAATCCTACCTTGGACTAAGCAGATGCTGGATCAACTTCTCCTTCTCCTTAAAGCAGCCTAGGCTGCAAATTGCCTGCAGGACATCCGGGTCAACGGCCTCGATGGACGGTAGCACGTGGGTCTGCACCACCTCCATCATGGGCAATTCCAGCTCGAGTTCCCCCTTACCCCCGGCCGTCACCCATTGGTGCTTGTTTATGTCGGTTAGCTGAAGACGAGCGATAAGTTGATTACCGAAACTTGGTCTCGCGGTTGGGTACTCACCGTTAGTCTTTTCTCCGGGTTAACTTCGATCATGCCTCGCAGTAGGCTTTGGCAATCTGGAGGGACGAAGTGGGGTATGTGGAACACCCCCCTCTTGACTTTCTCCAGCAGCTGTCTCAGGTTGTCGTCGTCGAAGGGCAGGGCACCGACCAGCAGGGCGTAGAGGATGACCCCGCAGGACCAGACGTCCGCCTTTCTGCCGTCGTACTTTTCTCCCTAAAGATTGAAGAATACGTGAAGAAAATATTACTTGGTGCTTTTACGAACTTCAATAGATATAAATTTATTTATAAATATCAAGAAAAAGGAAACAAAGTAATACTTTCATTTAAAGGAAAATAATGTATGGAAATAACCCATTGAATAAACTATAAACTATAACTATATAACTATAAACTATGTACTAAAAATAAAGTTAAAAAAAGAAAAAAGAACAATTAAACTTAAATACTTTGAGGTAGTTTTGTTTCTGCAAAAAAATACTGATAAAGTTAGTAGAAAAATTAAGGGGGAAGAAAAATTTCCCAATTTTTTTAGTGATTTTTGAAAGGCTGTAACTTCGTCAATAACACAGCTCCACAAAAAAATCGAAAAAATTACTTCTGGGGTCTGACTATGTCTACCATATGTTTTCGGGGTCGCTGAATCCGAATCTATTTAACCCCATCACGTCAGAACTTTTCATTACCTCAAAAAATACGTCCAAGAACCCAATAAATCATCTCCATTGACCACTCAACTCCTATAACCCTATGGTCCCCTTAATCCTATAACCCTATAATCCCTTAACCCCGTAATCTCGAAACCCCGTAATGCACGAACTCTCATGAATCGAACGTAAATCCAGGGTCTCTGCCGGATGACAGAATAATTCCGTTGCCCATCGTCACCCACGTGGAGGTGCTCTGGATCGCAAACACACGAATAAGTAGTACAACAATGATTTACGAAGTTTCATTCATGAGAGTTCGTGCATAAGTAAGCATTCTTGACTGGGTTTTGAGGTTATGAGGCTATGGGGTTATGGAATTATTGGAGAATATGGGTTTAAGGCTCAAGAAGCACGTATGACTCGAACATACTGTGTTTCAGGGTTTAAACGTGCATAAGTATATCTTTCTTACCAGGTTATGGGTGTCGGGGTTATGGGGTTTCGAGATATTGGAGTTAAGGGGTTATAGGATTAAGGGGTTATGGGGTTATAGGATTAAGGGGGTTATAGGGTCATAGGAGTTGAGTGGTCAATGAATAGAAGATTTATTGGATTTTTGGGCCTATTTTTTGAGGTTACGAAAAATCCTGATGTGATTCAGCGACCTGAATATTCTAGTTTTGAAATCTTGAGATGAAACATTCTTTTGGGCATCATTATCGGCGCAATCAAAAGAAATAAGGCAAATATTTTACAATATTTTTTTTCAAAACTATGTACTGAAAATTTTTGTCTGGCTTAATCAATACCAGGGTCACTTAGCCTGATTTCTCAGCTTCAGTTTGTTTTTTTATTTTCTGTACGATTATTTCTCATTGAAATATCGGCTATTGAGTGAAAAGTCACCTTTTTTATCGTACAGCGAACAGAAGGTGGTTTTTGAAAATAGAATCAATCCTCTTCAAAGGCCTTTTATTATGTTTCAGTAAAAAAAAATATATTGTGTTAAATTGAAAATGTGCAAAAAAATTACCATTTCTGCTGTTTTGGAAAATCAACGACTACTTTGCAAATACTGCGAAACGTACCAATGTTTGTAGTTTTTTTTTAGCTAAATACATGCCCATAAGGCCTGTAAATTTGGAAATCGATCGGTTGAACCGTTTTCCTTTCCTGAATCATCAGTTTTATAAAAACTTAAAGGAGCAGATTTATTGCTCTTTAAACTTCAATTATTGATGATTGAGATGAAAAAAATATTTGCGTTATTTTTATCACAATTTCGCGTTAATTACTCGGCAAATACCGAAAAAAAAAAATTTCGAAAAAAACCTTCAAATGACCTTGAAGTACATTGTACAAAAAATGTTTGATCCCAAATTCTGACAAAAAAATTGTCGGTATATCGGTTGTTAGCATAAAAAATAGCGTATTTCATTTGATATTATGTTGACCTTGCAACTCGTAGTGAAGTTCAAATCGAAGTTTATCATTTAATTTGTCATTTAAAATTCTACAAAGTTTGTCGCACATATTTCCCTTCACAATTCGATCTTGTCGAGTTATTTAGAGAAAAATAAGTTGGTCCTCCAAATGATCTTCAGACATATCGGAAATATTTCCTAAGCTCATCTTCGAACGTATTTAGTGTTCTGTTAGTTACTGACCAAAAACTAGGGCGTTATATTTAATATTTTTATTTTGACCTTGGTTTGACTTTGCGGCTCAAGGTTACGGTCAAATCCAAGGTCACCAGCAGGTTATTAATAGTATCGGTCTTAGTACTGTTCCCCGTGGAACCTCAAAGTTTCGTCACTTAGTGCATCCTCTACCTCAACGTATTAAATTCATACTATTTATGTAAGATTTTAATGTTTTTCCATATTTTTTCCGTTTAAAAATATCGGCTAAGTCTAGAAGTACACAAAACTTACCCTTATTACTTCAGGACAAGCGTAATGGGGAGACCCACAGCTGGTTTCCAACATGGAACCCATGGGCTGCAAAGAGGCCATACCGAAATCTGCTATTTTTATGTTATTCTTCTCGTCTAGTAGGAGGTTTTCAGGCTTCAGGTCTCTGTGGCTGAAAAATAAACGTTTTAGTGATACTCATAAATAAATATATCAGCATTGTTTTAAATTTCACTCTGTATATAACGTGCTTGTCGAGGACAGACACCATCTCACGTAACTGCCAGATTTTATTAATCTGCAGACAATTTCTCAAACGGGTAACTCGTACCCATGAGCGCCGTAAACACGGAATGCAAGAGGTGACAAATTTAAAATAACAGAATACGTAATCTCCTACTAGGTTTAATATCCGTGAGTTAATCGTACATGACGTAAAAAAACAGAGACGGATTAGGGACATTTACAAGAAATAATAGTAGAATATTATAAATGGCGATTTTGTGTAATATACAAAGTAACAGAGGTAATAAATACCTTAGTGTCCGCTTATTACTGACAAAATTGAAGAAAATTAACAAGAGTTCTGGAGTTAAATTTTCACCCTCCTCGCCAAAACCCAAATTTGAATGAACAAAATGATCTTTCTATATCTACAGTCTACAGAGGAAACGACGGCATATTTAAAACATTTGAAATGAAACTTTTGATACATGTTTAAACTGTAGCACACGCAAATAATTTTTCAGTTTAATTAAAATTACGCCTTAGGGAAACTTAGTAAGTAAGACACGTTTCAGCAAACTAAGGGTACGAATATGCGGGAGTCAGTGCTTCCAACTCTGACAAACAAAATTCCCACAGCAATGACCAAACTTTTTCCCTTTTTGTTTAATAAATTTTAAGAAAATATACGTTATATTTACTAAAATGAACTGTACTCGTGAGATTTGTAAGTAAAAGCAGACGTTACGATTATTGACCGTCTCTTTTTTTGATAAGTGACGTCAGTTTTAAATAATTGAGGTTATGTATATTCTGCAATATGAAATAATCTTGTCTTTGGAATTGTTCAGAACCTGTTCAAGTGGGTAAGTGTAGGTTGATTAAGGGCATTCAGGAAAAGCGTACCATATCAAAGTTATGTATTTTTAAAAGGAACACCCTGTATTTTACTCCATTTTTAAAGCACCGTAAAAAAATAGTCCATTACAGTGAGGTCTGGATACCTAGGTGGCCACTGACATGCACCATTCTTACTTATCCATTTATTACTAAATTTTCGATTTAAATAATTTCTCACTGAATATGAAATATTTTTAAATGCCCCATTTAATTGCATCCTCATTTTTCTCCTTATATTTAAAAAGAGGTCATCAAGAAGAGCCCAAACGAAGATAAAAAACGAAACGGCACAAATATCTCCAATATCGTTAGAGATAGGTATAGGTAACCTATAACAGTTTGAAAGAGTTTTAAATTTCCTAGCTTCCGAAGTAAAAATATACTGGGTGTCCTACTTAAAATAATCAAGTTTAACGTTGAGAAAAGTATTCAGTAATTTTGAACACCCTGTACAATACTAAGTGACGACAAATATAATAATTTATAACTTCAAAGATCTAAAATATACTCTCCAAAGCTGCTTCCTTAAAATTATTTTTTTTTGCTAATACATATTAAATTTCTACGCTAAACCTGCATTTTCATTAAAATTGAAATATCTCACAAACAATAAGTCCTAGGTATGCAGAACCTTTAATAAAGTTCACCTATTTTTTTATGGCGCTTTCTAAAATGCAGTAAAATACAGGGAGTTGTATTTAAAAAAACATAACTTAGATATGGTACGCTTTTGGACACCCTGTATATTTCAAAATATTTTTAAAATATAGCCGTAATCAACCTACCACCTAAACAGGTTTCTATAACATTTGCCGATTGAGGTGTTACTGATGGTCCACCCTGTATGTAAGGAACATCAAAACTAATATTAAATATTTTATGAATGCAAATACGATAGCTTATTTCAAAAGCTGTACACAAAAGTCTGCTGAAATGTACAATTTTTACACGATGTTAGACACTACGGCAATTAGAATTCGTATTATGGTATAAAATCCAGATACTTGAAATATCAGGACTTTTAACTCCTTTAATGTGCCGAGTAAGGTTAAATATAATCATAAGCGACAATTATTCTTTGTTTTGCCACCAATCGTACATAGTCTCTAGTTTAATTTTAATTTTATTTCTTTAAAACGAATTACGAACCTGAAATATACGATTTACTGTCGGACATTGAACGAAATAGAGTTTTTGCGGTTATATCATTTTATTTAAATTTAAAAACAAATAGGAATAAGTAAAATTAGCAGAACCAAAACCTTTTCTAATAAAAAAGCTGTTTTCCTAGATGTATTTTTATTTATTGTTATACTGTGCGCCTACTTTTTCGCCTTTAGTTAATTGTTAACAAACTTTAATAATACGTTAATATACCCTGCGACACTAATATCCCACTTCTGATTTACCGTGAGAGCGTCGTGCCTCGTTCGGGTCATCAATCAAACACTAAACGCTACTTTTCTGCACTTACCATATGGAATGGCTATGGCAAAAATCCAAGGCGGATATAATTTGTCTAAAAAATCGTCTAGCTTCCTTAGGTGTCAGTCTGCCCTTCTTCACTAGGTAGTCGAACAGCTCTCCACCCGACACGTGCTCTAACACTAAATATCTGAAAGGGATTGAAATTTCTCCGTTATTTTTGTCGCACAAAAACGCCTGTAAAGGTATTATTAAAGTAATGAGTTAGTACTTACAGATATTTTTTGTTTTCGTAAACGTCAGTCAACCCGAGCACGTGGGGGTGGTCTATCAGTTTCATTATGGCTATTTCCCGTTCGACCTGCAACAGAAAAACGTTGTCAGAGACATCGATCTACCCAGCGCCTCCCAGATTGATATTTTATATGCCATTAGGCAAGAAAATTGGTCCAGCGAGGATGGAAATGCCTCGTTTGTCCTTGGTATAAAAAGTGTCCTAAGATCGTCAACGTTTGAATTCTACGCTGACATACATTAAAGCTAAGTTTGTTTTTTTTTACGATAATATTATTTATTTAGGGACAATAAAAATAACATGTAAAAACAATACTACAACGTACAAGTCATTAACGTCCTGCACTGGATTTGAATTGTTTTGTTCCGTGAAATATCATCGTCAAAGGAAATAAATAAAAGAAAATAAATAAATAAATTTTCAAATTTGAAGTGTATTCGTATTACAATGAAAACTTGTTTTTCTAGAAATGTGTATCGATTTTACATATTTGAAAGTGGTCTAGACATTCAAAAGTACTATTGGGATGTTTCTCGTCAAACGGACCACCGACCTGGACAAAAATCGCGTGGAACGATCGAGACGTGTAAGGGCTCAAAATATTCAAACGCATAGTGGTACTTTTCAAAAATCCAGAATGGCGGACCCAATATGGCGGCCGGAAGCTGGAGAAAACCTGAGTGTACAGCAAAAAAGGGTTGTGAAAAAAAAATTTGCAACTAATCGGGTCATTTTTTAGTTCAAATTGTAGTGAGGGACACCTCTTAAAAGCTGGTGTGGTTGGATGAAAAAATCCAAAATGGCGGATCCAACATGGCGGTCAAAAAACCGATTTGGTGACTGAATTTTTAAAAATCAACGGAGTTACACCAAACCTGATATACGAGAGTTTTTGAGGTCGCTGATTACGAATCCGAGGTCAGATTTGCAAAATTTAAGATGGCGGTTCCATGATGGCGGACGAAATTTCGGAAAATCGAACGATTACCACTAAATTTGATATATGGGGATTTTTGGGGTCGTTGATCATGTATCTTAGGTTGGATTTGCAAAATTTAAGATTTTATCCGCCATACTGGATTTGTCATTTTTTAACGACCTTCGGAAACCCCCCATATACCAGATTTGGTGGAAAACGGTTGATTTTCCGAAATTTCGTCCGCCACATGGATCCGCCATCTTAAATTATTCAAATCTGACCTCGAATTTGTAATCAGCGACCTCAAAAACCCCCGTATACCAAGTTTGGTGTAAATTGGTTAATTTTTTAAAGGTCAGTTACCAAAGTTGGTTTTTATTAATTAAGTATTAAAATTCTGTTAAAGTTAAGACTTGTTAAAGTTAAAAATGATTTTTATTATTATCATAAAATAAACGGATAACTTCAAATTTTTCGTTCTCACTAAACATTATTTCTTTGTTAAAATAGTTTGTTATAGGAAATAAATTAATGATGATAAACAAACATCTGTGAAAGTCATTTGTTTGTTCTCTGTGCCTCGTCCATAGTCACTGCGATCCGTCAGACATAAATTTCCCTCCTGTTTTTTCAAAAATAGTTTTAAACCGAAATATGTCAAAAAGTCCTGAATCAAACAGTAACATATTATATGTTTTCGAAAAGAGAAAAATTCAACAATGCACTAATATAGGTATAGTGTTCCATTTTAAAAAATTCTTTAATTTAGTGATTTTCATTATTAATTGTTTTTTCTAATAGTGTCTTATAAAAATTCATAAAAGAAGCTAAAACTTTTGTATTAAAAACTTTTTGTAATTTCAATAATAAACGCACAATAAGTTGTTAGATTATATCGATTAACCCTGTAGATTCATATTACATTATACAGCCCCATCTTTTTCTCTATGAAAAAGTGATAAAGACCAACGTTTCAGAGAATTTAGCGATTAGAATAGAAAATGGTTTGTCTAAAACAAGATGGGGTTATTATAAAACATTTTATAGTATAGTATTTTTTCTTAATACCTACAATAATTAAAATTGATAGTGTTAAATTTCTGTTTAATTAATTTGAGAGCGGAAAACAGTAAACAAACTACGAAATATTGTGCAAACTATCAAAGCAAATAAATGTATAAATCAGAGAGCGACACATATACAAGGTACTCCATTTAAAAATACATTACGTTCGATTTATAGCTCCGAAATGCAAAATTCAACTATATTTTTATATAGGTATTTGAGGTCGCAATAATATTTCCTGAAACTTCAGAGATAAAAGGGGCAGAATGTTATATGAATATCTTTGTAGGTATATGTTTTTTTTCTGCAGTAAAAATAATTGAGTTTGCCATCTAAAAATTTAGAAATGATTAACAGTCCCATAAAAAAGGTTCTGTAGAGGGTATATTTTAGCGTTTTATTAAAAAATGCCTTGATAAATTGGGCTGCGAATTCGGATACAGCATCAAAAAATACACAAAATCTAAGTACTCATGTCTCTCGTACAGAACTTTTTTTGGGGCTGTTATCAATAACAAATGATGTAATAAAAAAATTGATATAATTTGCAGGATACTGCCTAAAATTACTGAACCGTTTTTAAAACGCCTTTTGATATAAAAGTCTTATTTTGGCAATAAGAAAGGGTACTTACCTTCATAAGTACACTCTCACTCAACTTTTCCCTGTTTATTATTTTGATAGCTACTTTCTTTCCAGTCACACAATGAACTCCTAACTTGACCAGACCTGTAAATAAAAAATTACTATACTGGGTAACTCACATAAAACAGATAGTTAGTTAACTGGGTATATATTCTTTCAATTGCAAAGAAAAAGTTCATTTCTTAAAAATATATATTTGGGATTTTATTTTACGCACTGGTGAGGAGGCATAACTATTTTGCATCGATTTTTTAGGTAGGATTTTAAAAATTTCTTTGATAATTGAAAAAAGTCATAATCAGATTGAGTGATGTCAGGATTTTTTGTTTGAAACAGTGTATTATTTTAAAATTTTGGAACTAGAAACTTAAATTAACATTTTATAAAAATAAATTTATAAACATAACTTTTTTAATTTATAAACCAGTAATTGCTATTATATGTATGTTAGGATTATACATTTTTAAAATATTTTATGATGTAAGGTTGGTAACAGCCCTGAAGTATAAGAAAGAAAAAATATGATATACGTTGGTATTGTTTTCAGTATTGTGCATTATGATACGGGTACCAAACCGAAACAAAAATGTTGTATGCGTTTAAGTTTATGTTAATAAACAGTTTAAACAATATAGTGAACGTTTGTTTATTAAATATATAAAACAAGAAAACTATTAACATATGGAATTTCAATAACTTTATGCGTTATTTTTAATTTGCAAATAGATATTATTTTATTATAACAGTTTCTAGCAATTCTAGCTATTAATCTTATTTATGTCTGACAGTTTTGTGGATGAATAATGAAGAAATTGCTCGTAAAAATGCGAAACCGGTGATTCTGACAAGCGTATGTTGTCACCAGGATTGCCAATGTGCAGGTAACTACCCAAAAAACGGTTATTTTGCATGTGCCCGTGGATAAAAAAAAGTAGCAGGGAATTCACATTTCAGATACTTAATTCACAATCCACCCAAAACCTTTTTGCATTTTGCACGAAGTGAACGAAAAGATTGGCACGCACACGCTAAAAATCCTCAAACACTCTATAAGACTGCAATCATAGCTACTGCCTGGCATTGAAATTTAGCCCAATTTAAAGGTCCTAGAATAACCATCTATGAACTTTAACAAAATAACACTATTTTAAATTTTAACCATTGCACTAAGCGTGTTGTATTTATTTAATTTAATGATTTTAATCATAAGTCCGGTTGCAGAATCAAAAATTAAAATTTGTTTTCATAATTATATGTTAATTAGTCATTTGTCGGAGGCAGCTGAGTTTAGTTGCACTAATAGCATAATATATAGCCAGTAAGGTCATATACTTTTTTATAAATATATATTTAAGGGGTACAGAATTTTAACCTCAAACAAGTCAGCCATATTAAAAAGGAGTAGATTTTTACCAGTTCTGTGGATCTATATTGTGCACGACGGGATTTTCAAATTTCGTGTGACCTTTTTACACAGACAAATAAATTTAGAAATTATTAAATTTGACCTTGAATTAATTACCTATGTGTAATACACAAAATTGCCCTCAATTTATTGACGACGATAAATTCATGATGAAATTGTAGGAATAGGACTGACCTCCAATTTTTCAACAATTTTTTGGTGAATTCTATCACATTTTGATATAAAGATATAATGCTAACTGTGTTTATGATAAAAATCATTAAATATGATTTAAATTGGTTATCACGGAATTATTTATTAATTAAATTGACTGAGGAATTCCAATAAAAAATTGGACTGTGTAATAAGCTTATTAATAATATTTTCAGTTAATTAATTCCTTTTTTGTATAAAATGGCGGTTAGAGAAATACTTTCTTTGCACCTTCACTTAATCTATTTTGCATGTAAAGGTGTAAAGAAACAATTTCTCTTTGAAATTTAAAAATTCTGCTACACTCATATCAACATATCTACTGGTTTTTAATATGGTTGACTTGCTCAAGGTCATAATTCTTTATCTCTATAAAACCTATTTATAAAAAAGTATTTAGTTGCCACTGCAATTGACTAAAATATTCAAAAATTACGTTTAGCGCTCGATCTGACGCTGAAATTTTCGTTTAATAACGTTACAACGCTTATTTCATTTTGTTATGACAAATGGGGGCAAAATGAAAATATAAAAAATATAGGTCTGTATTTTCATATTGTAATGCAATTAAAAAATTATAACACATGCTTTATTAAGTTATCGGTTACGCGCTAATGGAGACAATTAGTGATATGCGGTTGGCAGCATTGCGTTGCGCATAACTTCCTCTCTAACCACGTGTTCTTGGATTGTTGATATCTGATCTTATTTTTCCGCAATGCTATTACAGAGCCGAAAAAAAAATATTATAGTGAAAAACCAAACTTATACTTGCTTTAGACAATTTTTGTTACAATTCAGAACACCATAATTACTAATGACATTTATTAGAAGCATGGCAAAAATTTGATGTTTAATAAAACTTTAATAGCGATTTCCTGCTAAACGATTACATTTATCGGCTTGAAAAAAGAGTATATAATTTTTTCTGATATTGTTTCTCTTTTCAATAATGTTTAAGTCTCTGTGATGTCTAGCATGAGAAAAATGTTATGAACAAAACAAATTTTGAGTCCGAGATAAAGTTATTCAATAAGTAAATGAAAAAAAATGAACTTTGACAAGCTGTAACTTGCAAACAATTAACAATTCCAAAAAAATTCCAATACATACTGCTATTACTATTTCAATCCCTAGATTCACCTCGGAATTTCCTGACGGACTTTCAGAACACTCTGTATATAAAATTATAAAGCTTAAACAATCTTTGCTTATTTTCTGAACAGAGCTCGTATATTAAAAAAATTAATTATTTATTCCCAAAATCGGAGTGCCCAAACCAAACATGAGAGAAGACCATTTTATGTGGGTGAATCACTATATTTTGACTCCCCTTTAACTTTTTTGTTTTAAGAGTTATAAAAAAATGTGAAATACAAAAGTTGCACGATTTTTTATGAAGTTTTTGAAAATGATAGTAGAAAAACAAATGAAATTCAAATAAAATGGCCGCGGATGTTAACTTTGTTAATTTAAATGGAACACCCTGTATATTTTTACATATTTGGATAGAACGTTCCTTGTCGAGCATAGTTGTATAGGGTTTGTTGGGTCCATCTCTAATAATAGGCGAGATAATATTAAAAAACTAAATGATGTTTTTTTATTAAGAAAATAAGACATCTTGTAATTGTTAGACCTCTTTCAGGCATTTCTGCCTTTTTTCCAATTACGTAAGGATTTAGATTTAGTTGTAATATATTTTGACATATCGGACATTGATATAGTCCAAAATGCGTATAGGTATTTTAAGTAAATCTCACTAATTAGACCGTGTGAGGCCAATTACTCATGGACAATCTTATATGGTAGGTCGTAACAGTGACAGGTAGTAATGTCATGATAACATTGTTATTGTTTGACAGTTTGTATTAGTATTTAATTAAAATGGGTTACACAGAAGTACAAAATTGAAATGTTATTAGGAATTAAAATAAACTATGGATAATATCTTAACTACTCTATCTTAATTCCTATAATATTTAAATTTTCTACTTCTGTGTAACCCATTTTAAATAAATAATAATACAAATTGTCAAACAATAACAATGTTGTCATAATATTACCTGTCACTGTCACGGCCTACCATATAACATTGTCCATGAGTAAATAAGCCCCTCACAGACTAATTAGTGCGATTTAGTTAAAATATGTACTTATACCCATTTTGGACTATATCAATGTTCGATATGTCAAAATATATTGCAAATAAATCTAAATCCTTATGTAATTGGAAAAAAGGCAGAAATGCCGAAAAACGCCAACAATTACAAAATATTTTATTTTCTTAATAAAAAACGTTCTTTTCGTTTTTTAATATTATCTCACTTATTGTTAGAGATGGACCCAACATACCATATATGACTGTGCTCGACAGGGAACGTTCTATCCAAATGTGTAAAAATATACAGGGTGTTCCATTTAAATTAACACCGCGGCCATTTTGTTTGAACTTCATTTCTTTTTCTACTATCATATTCGAAAATTTCATAAAAAATCGTGCAACTTTTGTATTTCACATTTTTTTATAACTCTTAAAACAAAGAGTTTAAGGGGGGGTCAAAATATAGTGAATCACCCTGTACCTACAACAAATGCTTGTTCACAGACCACATTATTCTCGACACGTTTTTTTTAAATCCAGTGCAAGGCCGTCATCTCGCTCACCCACCATCCCCGTAGCCGAGCTCTATGTCATCCTCTAATGTCTCCGCAGTCTATATTCACTTCGCCCCTTGTTTATTTATAATAATGTTCCCCTAATTGTGCCGTAGGGTTCACGCGGGGGTGTAATATAGCGGCATGTCCATTCCAAAGCTGTCTCCCCTCGTCGCCATTAAATATTCTTTTCATCCACTACGTCACAATTAGAAAACGACGGGAATGCACCTTATTTATGCAGTAGGTCTCTTTCGCGGGTCATACGATTTGAATATGGCCCCGCGTGACGGGGTTGCGTGTGTTTTAATGCACGGGGGTATCGAGAAAATTGGAAAATGCCGAGCAAAAATAAGTTGTACAGGGTGGGCTTTAGATTAGATAATGTATATGGCATATGGGATGTTTCACGTCAAGCAGATCACCGACCTGGACAAAAATTGCGTGGAACGATCGAGACGTGTAAGGGCTCAAAATGTTCGTCTAGTAACAGCCTTTCAAACGCAGAGTGGTACTTTTCAAAAATCCACAATGGCGGACCCAATATGGCGGGCGGAAGCTGGAGAAAACCTGAGTGTACGGCAAAAAAGGTTGTGAAAAAAAAATTCGCAACCAATCGGGTCATTTTTTAGCTCAAATTGAGGGACACCTCTTAACAGCTGGTGCGGTTGGATGAAAAAATCCAAAATGGCGGATCCAACATGGCGGTCAAAAAACCGATTTGGTGACTGAATTTTTGAAAATCAACCGGTTTACACCAAACTTGGTATACGGGAGTTTTTGAGGTCACTGATTACGAATCCGAGGT